ACTCACACTCTGTCTCTCTCTTTAAAAACAAAACAATACAAAACAAAACAAAATTAAAAAAATAAAAAGATGCTTTTCCTACTTTGATATCCTTTGGTTCCCATATTAGAATCATTGGGATATGATTCTACTCTTCTATTCCCGTATGTGAACAGCTAGATTAGAAGGCCAAATTAGCCTCTACATCGTACCATCTCCAGTAAGGCAGCGCCTCTCCCCAGGTCTTCAACTGGAGCCCCAACCTCTCTATCATGAGGCAAGCCTAGTCATGTCAATGTCCTCCTCTGCAGATGGGATTAGTCCTGAACGTCATAGCCATCATGCCTCAGTTTCCCATTTACCTGAGTTACCATCAGAAGCCTAAGCTTCCCTGATCATGCATCACTGTATAGACACTCAACTGCATGCTATTGTGTCCACCCCATCCCCCAACCTCTCCCTCTCTCCTCCTTCCCATCCTTTGAGTGTGCCCTCTGGAAATCTTGATCCTCCTTGACAATGTTTCCTCATGTTCTTGCTTTAAGTGAAACTCAACTTCCCCCTGAGGACGTTTCCTTAGAAGCCCTTTCCAACAGAGGCAGGTCTGGCTCCCACATCCCATGTACTTCAGAACGGGAGGTGAGGATTTGCCTACTTTGTTCCTCATCTAAACTGTCTCTTTCTTCCTTCAAAAAACCCAAGCTTATTTGAAGAGCTTATCATCAGCTCTCTTGACCCCTCATACATACATAATTCTGTCTTTCTACCAATTTCCTGGTCATTCCCCAGCACTCATGGATGACTTCAGCATCTGGATTTCTGACTCCTTCACTACTACTCCTGCCGTCATTGTGGGGAGACTTCAACATCCATGCAGATGATCCAACCAATACCTTGGCCTCTTAGTTCCTTGACCTTCTAGCCCCAATGAGCTTTTGCTCTAATCACACCAATCACTGAATCACCCGCTAAATGTAGATTTCTAACATCCGACTTTCTGACCATCACCACTCTCTTTAGAGCTAGCTTACCCTGACACTCCACCCATTCAATTCCCCAACCTCATCAAGACCTTCATTTCATTAAAATCCCCTGTTCTGTTGTTGTTATTCATTGCTATCGCTCCCTGCATGTCCACTTCCTTCCTTACCCAGCTCTGATTCCACAGTCCAACACTTGAACAACCCTTGCCAATACCCTAAATGTCTGGCAGCTCTCCTTCCTCTGTACCCGTCTAACAGAACTCCAGTCCTGGTATTCTATCCGTTTATTGGCAGCCTGCACCACAGCAGCTGGACGTTGCTGAGAAAAATGACACAAATTTGCTGACTAGACTCGGTACAAACATGACCACAAATCTCACTTGACACTGTCAGAGAAACCTACTACACTTCCTTAGAAAATTCAATTTCCCAGTCTCTGGGGAAACTATCCCACTTCCTTCTCTCTCTCAAATCTCCAACACTCCTTTCCCTAGCCCATTCTTAGCTGATGACCTTGCTGTATATCTCACAAAGAAAACAGATTTCTACATAAGATGAGAACTACCTCATCTTCCCATCAACAAGTCCTTCATTGTATCTGCATTAGAACCAAAATACGCTGCCTACCCCACCTCGAGTGCAATGGAAAAAGAGTCCTGGCTCCTACCCAAGGTCAACACCTTCCCCGGGCTCTGAACCCATTCTCTGCCCCCACCTTTGTTATTGTTGTTGTTGTTGCAACTCTTCTCTTCCTTCTTGCATTATCATTTTCTCCCTCTTTATAGGGTCATTTCCAATGATACCCAAACATACCTCTTAAATAAACTCTCCCTTGACCCCACTCCCTCCTCCAATTTCTACCTCTTTCTGACCTCCCCTTCACAGCACATCTGTTCAAAGGACTCCATATTCATTGTGTCCACTTCCTCACCTCTAGTATCTTTTCATCACATAAAGCCCACTCCACTGATGACCAACTGGTAATGTTACCAAAGACTCCATCTTGCTGAAATGGAGGGTTACTTCTCTGTCCTCATCTGCGTTCAACTCAGTTAGCCAATTGTTCCTTTTCAAAAAGCTTTCTTCTCTAGGTTCTATGACACTTCATTCACCTGGTTTTTCTCATACATCATTGGCATGCCTTCTCCATCTCCTTTGTGGGCATTTCCTACAAACACTGGAGTGTCTTCAGCACCTTTCCCTTCTAGCGTGCTCTGTCTCCATGTGACCTTAGCTAGTCTTGTAGCTTAAGTACTTTCCTTCACACTCAGGTCTCACGGATTGACATCTCCAGCTGCATCTTCTACCAGACCCCCAGACATCTGTATTCAACTGTCTACTCAACATCTCTCTTTCAGTGTCTAAAAGGCATCCTCGACTTAGTGTATTCAAAGTGGATCTTTCCCTCCTCAAAAGCACACCTCCCCTTCTGCCAAGCCTTACCCGTCTAAGTAAAAGTGCACTCTCCACTCACTTGCTGAAAATCCAAGAGTCAGTCTTGATTCCTTCCCATCTCTCCTCCCCCCACTTCTGGTTTACCAGGAAGTCTTTTAGGCCTGACTCTCAAAGTACATGGGATTAGAGCCACCTGACTCGAACCACTATTCCCTGTCTTCTATCTCCATGGCCAAGACCAAGTCTCCCTGACCCCACACAGCAGCAAGATAGGTCTTTCTACAGCAGACTCGGCTTTACTCATTCCCCCACAGACAGCCTTCCAGTGGCTCTCCACTGCATGTGGAGTAAGATCCAAGTGCCTGTGCATGGCCCTTATTTGCCCCTCTGATCTCATTTCTATCTATGCCCTTTCTCATCTACGAATTCCCAGGCGCGTGGGTTCAGGCCCATCGGTGACTCTGCTCTTACTTTTCCTTCCAATGGAGATGATCTTCCCTCCCATCTCTATGTAGCTGCCACCTTCTCAGCCACCAAGTTTTGATACAAATCTCCCATCCTCATTCTCTCAGTCTCTCTCTCCACCCCTCACCTGCTCTCTCTCTCAAAATAAATAAACATTAAAAAACAAACAAACAAACAAACAAATCTCCTATCCTCAGAGAGCCTTTCCCAACACCAGCCAAGGCACTTTCCCACAATACCTACCTTATCTTACTCATAGCATCCATCAGCACCTAACATTCTCTCATTTCCATATGCGCTTCCTTGTTTCTTCACTCTCTCTCTCCCCACTTAGAATTGGAACTCCCTAATGGCAGGGACTCTGTCTTGTTCAGCACTATCCCTTGCACTTACAATAAGGCCTTGCACACAGTAGGGACTTAATGTTCGTTGACTGATTGCCTGAGGAAGCAATCTGTGTCTAGACATGAGGGGCAGAGGGAACTCTGAGACCCAGCATGGAGGTGGTGAGGGAACAAGAATGAGATGGAAGCTCCATGAGGAATCCCAGGACTGCACCTGCAGCCACGCTTGGCTCAGAGCTGGTACATAATAAGTATGTGGGACAGTGGGACGCACAGTATCTTGGAGGCAGGCAATCTCTCAGCTCCCTGGATTAACCCTCCACCTAAACCAAGATTTTCTGTTTCTTCTTATGTCCCTGGTAGATGATCCTTCAGCCTTCCAGGATCCTAAGATGCTTAGGGAGGAGCCTAGCAACTGAGAGAGGAGCCCAAAGCCAGTGTCCACAGAGCCCAGCCTGGGTCCGGCCAATCTTTCTCACTGCTAACTATTCTTTTTGTTCCCATTGCACGCCTTGTTTGCACATCCTTGTCTGTGTTCTTGGTGCTGTGGCTGCTTCACAGCTTGTTTTGTAGTTTATTAGAAGGTTAAAAAAAAAAAAAAGCTCCAGTTTGACAAACAGCTCTCCTAAGTGAACTGGTGGGTCTCTGGTGCATGGGGCCAGCAAGGCAGAGGTGACAAAGCCCCACATGGCATGGCTTCTGTGCTCTTGTGAGGGATTATGACCCTGTTTGGGAGGCAGGATACCTAGCCCACTGCTGCTAAACATCGCTCACCTTCTGAGGCTAATCAGTCCCTCCACCAAGCCATGAAAGGCAACATGGCTCAATGGTTTAAGAGTGTGGGCCCTGCATCATTCAGACCTGGGTAAGACCTGGATTATCTGACCACGGGCAAGTAACTGGTTCTGAGAATCTCATCTGTAAAGCGAGGATAATAATAACACTTAGCTCAAAGGATTACTATAAAGGTAAACGAGATAGCAAATGCAGAGGGTCCGGCATAGCTCTGGACATGGAGTACGCATTCAGTACGTGAGAATTGTTATAGATATTAGGTCCTCCAGTTCCACTCTCTGGCCCCCGGGCAGGCATAATGCCACCTTCTCATTTGGCCACTCCCCAATCTCATTCACAATATCCAAGAAGATTCTTAATCGGCTGCTTCTTGCTCACATGACTATCCATGTGGCACTGGGTGCCTTTGAGGATAAATTCCTTGAGGGTTAGCCACACCCACACAGCCTTGAATCATACACCTCAGCAAGCAGCTAAGCACTTATTCAAATCTTTGTGATTATGGGGGGGACCCCATAGAATGTTAGAGCTAAAAGGAACCCCCTCATTTTGCTCATCAGGAAACTGTAGCCCACGAAAGCCCCTAAGATCACATAGTGACAGCTGGATCTGGAACTCAGGCCTCCTACCTCAGAAAGGCACACTGCCCACCCATCCTCATTCCCCAGTTCACATCCACATAGAGAAAAGACTGGATAAGACAGAGACTATGAGGCATTTTACACCAGAACGTCTCTTCATCTCGGCCAGAGCTGAGAAACGTGGTCTTTGCGCCGTTTTTCCTCACCCCTTCGGGAGGAGTGTGGCCCAAAGGGAGTCTCCAGGGCAAACGGCAACTGAGTGCCGAACGAAGTGGTGGCCAAGACCCTGAGCTGGCTTCCTCCTACCCCCACAGTCCCCCTCCCCTCTCCGTCTCTTACTTGCCCACCCTCCTTCCGCATTCTCTCCTTTTCTCATTTCGCCCAGGCTGCCTGCCCTCTCGGCTGTTTGCTCAGAAGCTGGGCTCTGTTTGCTGAGCTGTTATTCATTTTCATATTACCTGGGATATTTTCAGCTGCTCCTCTGGGTTTTTAGGAGAATTTCAAGTGGCGGGAAGTAACGTGGGCTGCAAAGGCAAATACGCATCCGTGACCTCTGGGCCTCACCTGGGGGATTTGTTCATCTTATCTGCTGCCTTCCTCACTAGCACAGCCTCTGTCTCCCAGCCTGGCGCTCGGCCTCTCATTCCGGGCTTTGGGGCGTGGGGCATGTTTTCAGGCAAACAGGCTGCAAGTTTCCTCAAATCCACGAGTGATGCACCAGGCTGGCTCGCATCAGGCTCTTGAGTGGTGGCCTAATGACTTGTAGGGCTCTGGGCCCTGCCTCCCTTTCCAGGACCCCCTCCCTGCACTGCAGCCAGGCCAGAGAGAGAGCATCTCAGAGGCGCTTTCATCCAGCCCTCCTCCCCCCCCCCCCCCCCCCCCCCCCCCCCCCCCCCCCCCCCCCCCCCCCCCCCCCCCCCCCCCCCCCCCCCCCCCGCCATGGCCTCCCCGCAGAAGCAAGGAGCAGGAGGCAGGCACGGAAGTCACCTCTGGGAAACAGTTTCAGGAAAGCATTGCTTCACTGCTGTCGCTCCAGATACACCAGGACCCAACGGTGAGGTCGTGGAATGCCAAAGCAGGGAGGGCGGCATAAACAAGAAGACTGCTCCTATAGGAGGGAGCTGGAGAGTTGTCCTCATGACCCGGTTACTGGACAAGGGCAACTCCTGAGAGGCATCTCTTCCACCTTGACCTCAGGCCCAGAGTAGAGCAAGGCCTGAATCCTCTACATGCCAGAGGGGACGGAACAGAAGGGCGTGGGCCATGGAAGGAACATGGGTGTGAAATCAGACCGTCTCGATTGAGGCTTGGTTATCCTGTATGTTAGTCACGTGACTGTGGCTGTGACCATGGCATCTCAAGTGTGTCTGCCATCTCAAGTGCAAAACCAGGACAACAGAATTGGTCTCTGGGCTGGTGTGAACAGCACAGGAAGTTAACTTGTGAGCAGGGGCCCTGGATGTGGTGATGGTCTTTGTAAATGCCAGTTATTCTTCATATAGAGTCCAACTTTTTTTTTAAGTTTATTTATTTATTTTTTGAGAGAGAGAGAGAGAGAAGAGTGAGCACACAAGCGGCGGAGGGAGATACAGACTCTGAAGCAGGCTCCAGGCTCTGAGCTGTTAGCACAAATCCCAACTCACAGCTCAAACCCATGACCGTGAGATCAAGACCTGAGCTGAAGTTGGACGCTTAACTGATGGAGCCACCCAGGTGCCCCCAGAGTCAGACATTCTATCAGCAGACCAATAACGAAGGATCCAGAATCAGGCGCATCGAGACAGACTTACAGAATAACACCTGGCCTGCTTTTCTCACACCCCAGTGCTCTCTGAGTCCCAGCGGCACCACTGCTGTCCGCCCTTACCCCTTTGCTCTCTCCAAGCCTCCACGGAATTTGTTCTAAACGTTCTAGGATACTCGGTTATTGGATATGTGTCAGGTTTAATAAAAGGCATTGCTTGGCTCTGGGCTTGCTGTGTTCTCTAGGTTTGTCACTGTCGTGCTTATGGCCCGTGGTACTGCCACTCCAGGCCACAGACATCAGTAAAACAAGAGCAGGATTTATTAACAGGACTGAGAAAGCCAGTGGTGCATCTTTTGTGCATTGTGGACAGCAGCGGCTTCCTCATCAGCATGGTGGGCCCCTCAATGGCTCCAGTTAGAGTCACCTCATTTTGGACTCCATGGGCCAAGTGGAGCAAGGAACAGGCTCTGGGCCATGAACTGGAGCAGGACCCACAGAGGAGATGCTTCTTTCTGGGCCGCACAGGGTTTTATTCCTTGAATAAGTCATCAAGTTGCTTATTGCTATTTTCATGAGAGGATAGACATTGAAGGACTAAGTAGAAGTGAAGCCAGAACCTTCTTGGGGGCAGGAACTGAAAACCTCTGAAAATCAAGTGCTTAGCAAAGTGCCCTGAGATAGAATGCCTGGTAAATATTGAATGAATGAATGAATGAATGAATGGAAACAGAATTGGGGCTGAAGCTGAACCATGTACGTGTTCTGACATGGGATGGCAGTAGGAGCTGGGAAGTCACCCCAGCGCAGATGATGAGCAAAGGTCAATTCCAGCAGAAGAGCACAGAACACACATCTAGGCAGCATTCAGTGCTGGAGCCCATGAGTCTTTAGATTGGACTTAGATAAAGGCAAAAGCCCATTTTCTAAAAGGGAGACAAAGGGCCAAGTTGGACTTGCAGAACTAACCCAGAGCCCCTTAAAATCTTCCTCCCAAAGAAAGTCAGAATATAGACCCAGTCCGAGGCCCCTGCCATGGGAAGGAGAGAATGACAGGGCTAGAAAAATGAAGTCATTCAAACTTCCTTCTTCCAAATCCCTAACAAGATCATGAGCTCCCTGTAAAGAACACAGAAATAAAATCATCAGGGGTCATCCCTGTAGAACCTTCTGTTTCATCCCCAAGGCAACCAAGACCCAGCCTGTTTGCTCTCAGCCAAGTGAGAGCCCCTGGCAGCCTGGAGAACCCCTCACACAGGGCCTCTCTAGTTAGATGTCACCCTCCCTAAATAGCCCAGTCCTGTCATAGACCCACATCTAGGGGCGCTGTGGGGAGGAGAGTGGGGTGGGTTATGATTTGCATGCTTCTTCCTGCCATCTTATCTTGGGAGACACTCAGAAGAGGTCTTCTGGGAAGGTGGGAGCTGGCTGCCACCTGTTTTAATTTTTTCCTCGATGAAATTAAGGCTGGGAGGCCACACTGGCCTTTCAGACAAAGAGTAGCAAATGGCTAACTACAAAATAAAGATTTTTCCAGGGCTTCGGTTGTCCCCTCATTACTCTCTACCCCTTGACCCGATTAATAAGAGTTTGGGCCACAAGCATATAGGAGATTTTTAGTTTGGCTAACAAATGCCACAGAAAAACTGAAATTAAAATCCCCAGAGCTTCAACCCAAAGTCTGGGCCCTTGAGATCATGCATGGAGAAGTATGTCACCAGGGGGTCAGCAGTGTCCAAAGAGAGCCACTCACCTAACTGCAGAGGGGGAGCCATAACTGGAGTCCAGAATAAGAGAATGTTCAGGTCATGTGTTTGGCTCTCAGAATCCCAGGGAGGGCAGGCCGGTGCTAGCTACAGTCTTATTTGCAAAGCAGTGATACATAAACCCACAGAAAGTGATAAATCCAGGAACACTGAGTTATTCAAATACTAGCCATGAGTCCTTGAACACTGGGAAAGATTCTTCTCTGGTAGACAGATTCCTTAAGATAGCTAGAAAGATTGTTTAGTGGGGGACAGGGAATGCACAGAGGCAATGGCGGAATCTTCAGGAATGGTTACCCTTCTCACCCCCACTGCCAGTCTTGTTTACTCGTATCTACAGTGCCAACGATGATGCCCAGCACATATGAAGCACTCAATAAATATTTGTTAAATGAAACCATGCATGAAGCCCAATCTCTAGGAACTATTTATTACTCTTCCCCAAGCCAATCCTATGTGGGAATTCACCCAAACTCCAAGGAACACCACAGCCCTCCCCCCCAACCCACCCACACTCCACACTGCAAAATGTAAAAATGCCCTATAACTAAGGTGCCAGCATCTTTTTGAATGCATGTTACCAAAGGCACTCTAAAAGACCTAGAATACCCCGACCTCCCATTCCTCTGAAGAGAGAAGTGAGTCTCCTATCTCACTTCCAGACTCACTCCCGGCACCACACTGGAGGGTGGACACCACCTGCATCCCTCATCGAAACACACACAAGTAGCGAATGGCCAAGGGGCCCGGTGGGCTTTGGTCTGGGGGGCTTTGCCATCCCTCTGTAAGTGTGAGCAGACAGGCTGGTTTCCCCAATTCTGGCGTTAATTGTAGCCCATGCGCTATGATTACAAAATGGAATTAAATGACATGCCAAATTAAAGAGTTATTTTTTCTAATAAATATTTTGCATAGGATGTGTTTATAATGGCATTAATTATTTACACTGCCGTATAGAGAAAGCATAAATATAAAGAGAGATCAGATGGTTCCTGTAGGAGAAATAAAATGAAAATTTCCATCAGGATGATGAATACCTGCAGTCTAACTTTGGGGCTGGGGCTGGTGGGGGGAGGGCGAGGTGGAGAGAGAGGAACATCTCGAGAACAATCTGACAAACGCTACCGAGGTTTTTGAGGGTGGAATATGTTAAAAATGAAAGTGAGTACAGAAAGTTTAAATATTTAATACCTGCATTAATTCTAATTCACACTTTCTTTATTTTTCAGATTAAAAATTTACAAGAATCCCCATGTCTTTCATCCGTCTCCTCCCATGAGGCACTTTATGGTCACTGTTCTGGGGACCACCTCTGGCAGCCCCCGGGGACAATGGGGGCATGAGAAGAGTGGCACCCATCCCCCACCGCGGTGGCCCCTGTCTCCCCCACCAGACATCTCCCCCAACTCCACTGCTGTTGGGTTTCTGGCGCCAGCATGACTGATGGGACCAAAGCCACTTCCTGGCCTCCTTGGCTGGCCCCAAGAGGGCCACAGAATTCTCAGAGATTATGTAGCCGGCTGTGGGCTTAAAGTGCTTGCCCAAGTCCAGACCTTGTGGGCATAAAACAGATATTACTGCTGGAGGGATTTCTCCTCGAAACAAGAGAGTTTTGTCACATGAAGTTCCGGGCTCCCCTGCCCTCCAGGGGCTTTTAGTTGAAGGCCTAACGGATCAGCTTTACACTCTTTAAATAATGTGATTTTCGATTCTGCAAACCAGGATTAATTTGAATGCAAGGATGCAAGGAAGAAATAACTTCTTGGAGACCACAGTTGAGAGAGTAACGCTAGGACATAACTTCTAAGCTTCGGCCCTGGCCCCAAACCTAGCATTAAGGTGCTGAGCAAACCCTCCTCATGATAAGAACAAAATACCCATCTGCATTCCTTGAAAAAGCACTTTCCCACACCACAGCTGACCCTGCCGGTGCACTCAGTGACAAAGACGCTGTCATCAGCCTTCATTCTATACACAGGAAAACCAGGTTCCGAAAGGTCATGTGACAAGTCCA